CCCCAAAACCCCAAAACCCCAAAACCCCGTTAGGAGTAATGTCTGATTCAATTATAGTAATTAATTTTTTAAAATATAAATAATTGCGTGAGTGTTGAGTTGAAAATGAATACATTCGCTAATCTAAAGACTAAAATCAAACAAGTTAATTTCAATAAAATCACTAATAAAGCTGCAAACGTAGATGCTTAGCAAGACCAGCAAAATCATAATAATCCATATGTAGGATCAAATCCAGATACCGCCTAGTCAACTGAAGCATCGCAAGCGAACTTAGTTCAATAAATGAACCAGAATGATAAGACCAATCAACCTTTATAATCTCCATCTTCTTCCTAATAACAAAAGCAACAACCTGCATAGAAGACTACAGTTACCTTTTCAATTCATACAATGGGCGAATTTTCTCATGAAGAACTTTAATAAGTCATTATAAAATATGATTCAGAGTACAAAAGAATGAAAAAGACATAACAAGGTAAGAATATATTGATACTAGTTTTCTAATTTTTAAACTATACTAAATGCATTGATATAGATTAATAGAGTAATTTAAAGTTGATTGAAGACAGAGCTTTAAAAGCTGAAAAAGAATGCTCTTCCCTTAGAGACTAAGCAATGTGCTATCAAGAAAACGTTGAGAGATTAAAAGGTATATTTTTTCCTACTAATATTAAAACTAGAGCATGTGTAAAACTTAATGAATGAAGGTGAAAGTTCAAAGAAGGAGAAAATTTAAATAATGAAGCAGCTTAATGATCTACAAGAGCATTATGATAAATTCAAGTCAGATCAAGAATAATAGCATTAGGATAAAGATAATAATTATAAAAAAGAGATAGAGAAGCTTAATAAGACAATTTAAGAACTTTAAAGTAAACTTTTAGTAATTGAGTAGATCCAAGAAGCAAATGGGGATGATACAAAATTATCTCAGATTCAATCTTAGCAATTTTCTGATTTTGAAAATTAGATCAAAGAGCTTAAAGAATAAATAGAAAAGCTAGAAAATGATCATTAGTCAAAATTGCAAGAAATAGGTGATGAATTAAAAGATAGAAACTCTTCGATTGAGGATTTAAATCAATTAGTATAAGAAAAACTAAATCAAATACAAGATTTTGAATTACAACTTAGTAATGCAAGAAATGATCTTAAGATTAAACAAGACTAGTTGATAAAAAAAGAGAAACTTAATGAGTAATTTTAAAAGAAACTTGCAGATTTGATGAATTAAAAACAAGACTATCTTGATAAAATTGAATCATTAGAGGGCTTATTAAAATTAAGTGAAGAAAAAATTACTTCTCTGAACGTGGAAAATGACAGTTTCAATGGTGCTTAGAATTAGATAGTTCATTAGAAAGATCAGGTTATTGAAAAAATTAATGAAGAACTAAAGTAAGCAAAGTCTACAGCTAAATCTTAAGAGACAATGATTTCATATTTCAGGAAAAAAATTGAAGAGATTCAAAAATAACTAGAACAGGAGAAAAATGATAGGCTTAACCTTTAAAGTGAAATAAGAAGAATTGAGCATCTATCTTCAAGACATTCAAGTCCAAGAGATGAGGAAAATGAGGATGAAGAATTCAATGAATATAAGAAAACTTAGGATCTAATAAATAAAGCTTAAAACATTATTGACGCAAGTAATCCTTAAAGAGTTATAAATACTGAAGAAAGAAGAACTGGCAGATCTAATAGGCAAATAAATAGCTCAGTAAATCTTGATGATGTATAAGATTTCAAGGTCAACTTAAATGAGAAACCAAAAATATAAACATCACATAGGTCCAATAGCAAAGTGAAAAGTATGTCCTCTAATCAAGTCAATCTTGAAGCATAAAACCATTAGCTTCTTGAAGATCTTAAGAAACTGAGAGAGGAATATGATAATTTAGTTAAAGACTTCATGGAGTTTAAAAAGGACAAAACTTAACTTGAAGATGAACTTGCTGAAGAGAAACTAAAATTAGGAGTTGATAAGAAAAAATGGAATGAGCAAGAGGAAAAAATGTAGCAACAAGAAAAAAAAATAGATGAGTTGCAAAAAAGAAGAGAAATGGCATAAAGAGAAATAAAAGTTCTTAATATAAAGCTGCAAAAACTAAGCAACCAATCAACCTCTAGTAGTAATGTGAATAATTCCTCAACAATTTCAAATTAACAGTAATAGCTTAATGAGGAAGTAAAGTATTAATAGCAACAAATTACTTCACTGAAATAAAATTAAATATATAATTAACAATAATGTAAAACTGTTGCTACTGAAGATTCATAGTCTAGACATTCTAATGCAGATTTAAGTTAATAATACTTTGGTTTAGATAAATTGAGAAAGATTAAAAGAGAAATGGAAATGTTCTATAAAGATCTCATTAAGATTCTATTTATGGATCAGGTTGATAAAGATGTTGCTATTCAAATGGAAAAGAGAATTAACAATCTTATCATGAGTGTTAATGATTAGATAGATGAAATTGAAATTAGACAATAGCAAGCATAAATGAATGGATTGTTAAGTCCTAAAAACATTAAGGATATTAATTAATCAACACAATAGCAAGATCTTTAAAGAAAATAGCTACCAGCTAGAGCTAATTCTAGTGATGTGAGATAAATGCCATAAAGCAGATCAAATATCTAGCCTCAGTAATAATTGAAGAATATGATGAACAATATTCTTGGTGGAAATAGCCATAATACCTAATCCTCGACCTCTAATCCTTATTCACAGCCATAATTTAATAAACCATCACTTGGTGGAGGAAGTTTTATCGGAAATTCATCAAATATCCCTCCTTTAGGCTAACAATTAAGCGGAAGCAAAATAGGACTGCCACCATCATCGGGAGGAAGCAGCAGTAAGAAAGATCACATGCCAATTAAAGGTGTCCATAACAACAATCGTTGATCAAGGATATTTGGCTATAATTTTATCATTTCAATTAATCCATTTATACTATTTCAATGAGCTCAATTTTGTCGATGGGGTTTTGGGGTTTTGGGG